AGGTGATAGATACATATACAAAGAAAGGCAGGCGATGTGTGTCTGCAGACTGGAGATAAAAGCGCTGTTTTGCTTTTCTTTCATAGATTGTCAAGAGGCAGTATCCATAGGTAAGTGGGTAATGATGTATGTGGAGTGCAGAAAGGACATTTCCATAGCGACGATCCCTGACTGTTTGAACTTATCAGCGTGAGGAAGAAAGCACTTGGTCGTGGGTGGCCTTAAACTTCTCGGTGGCCAAGAGCCAGGCAGGCTGGGCCGGATTACAAAGGAGGGTGCTTGAGTGTCTGTCTTTAACCAAAGAGACACTGCTGCATGAAAACAAGAACAAGGCTTCACCCCGGGCAAGAAATAATCCAAACATTTAGAAAACGCAGGGCTCTTCTCTGGCTGGCAGTTTAATTGTTGCTCTGTGGGCGTGCGTGCACTTGGCATTATCAAGAAAAACACTGGAAAACATTTTTTAAAAATGACCCCTTGGTACTTACAGACCGAGTAACGTGTCCAGTCCTCTTGACACAGCTCCCTGAGCTGTGCGTGGATCTGGAGAAATCCCAGTGGTAGCTTTGAGACGGTTAGCAGCCACACACAGACGGGGCCAGAACTCATCTCCATTTGAGAGGTCTTTGCTGGGAGGGAAACAGAAGCTGGTGAGTGGCACAGACAGGATTTTCTTTCACCCTATCCTGAAACTTTGAGTGAGGAAAATTGAGATCAAATCAAAGGGAATATACTTCATGCCACAGATAATACTATTAAAGGGGCTTATTACTTTCAAGATATGGTACTGGCAGGAGATGTAGAAGGATTAGAGAGGATTTGAAGGACTTGTAGATGCCAAGAAAGACTGGATCTGTCTCTAAACATAAGGCACAGAAAGCAGTGTTCCTTCCAGCGCACACCCTCTGGGGCCGCTGCGGCCAGCAGAGCCCACACCACACCGGCCTGGGTTGAGAATCCCTGCGCCCTTGGCGGTGGGAGTTTCTGATATGCTCCAGTCCTTCCACTGCTGTTCCTTATGGTCAGTGCTTTGATGGAGCAGACCAGTGTCTGCTTCACGTAGCACATTATTCAGGGAGGCGGACTTGGCGAATGCCGTTTCATTCATTCATAGTTCAACAAGTATTCCTTGAGCACTTACCATGGGACGAGCACCACGCAAGAAATGAAAAATTATCATGGTCCTTGACAGTAACAACAATAAACAAAACAAGCATATAATTAGGAATTATAGAGCTACTACAAGGCAAGGGATATGAAGCTCCAAGAGGAAGTGTGTGTGTACAGTGTGAGTGTGCGTGTGCGTGTGTGTGTGTGTGTGTGTGTGTGTGTGGAGGGGGGGCGGGTGGCTACCTAGACAAGCTGGCCAGGGAAGGACTGGAGAGGAAACAGTCCATCTGCGATCTAATGGGTGAGCGGTATCCAGCCGTGCTAGGGTGGGGAGAATGAGAACATGGAGTGAAATGGAAATGTACCAAGGTCCCCGGGTGCAGATGAGTTCATTGTGTTCAAAGCTTGCAGAGGCCGAGGTGGCCGGAGTGTGGAGCAGAGGTGGGTGTGGGCTGGGTGGTCCGCCGAGCTCCAAGTGGGAATGGAGGTTCAGGCAGAGGCCAGGTCACACGGGACCTCGTAGGCCATGGCAGGGAGTTTGGCATTCACCCCAGATGAAAGGAGGGGGTTTTTCAAAGTAAAAAAACAAAAACAAGAACCAGTGATTCACCTTTTGAAGTCTTGTGTAGGATTGTACGAGGATATGACTTTCTGCCCGTTAGACCACAGGCAAACGCGCCCTCCTCCTGAAATCTACGGCGTCTCTGCTCTTGGCCATTCTCCTGTGGCCATGGAGGGGATATCTGATAATCAGAAGTCTCTGCAGGAAGGAAGACCAGCTGCAAGATCAAGAAGGAGCAGACTGGGGGCTGGGGATTTAGTTCAGCGGCAAAGCACCTGCCTGGCAAGCGCAAGGTTGGGAGTTCGATTCCCGGTACCGGGGGAAAAAAAAAAAAGAATTAGACATAGAAATTGAGAAAGTCACATTTTGAGAAAGAATATTTTCATGCGCTGAACATAGATGTGAATGAGATAAAGTGAGGCAGGAAAAGGGACAAGAATACTGATGAAATAGTTCAAAGGGAAATTTGTGTCATGCAGATGTAATCTATGACTTGTGGTAATAAGCTTCTCTGAAGTGTCTGTACTTCCTATAACCTCTGTGACCACCGATCTTTTATGATCTTTTGAGGATTTGCAATCCAAATAATCAAAAGTTCACAAGTGAACAGGAATAGAATGTTTGGCACAGAAAAGGAAACAAATTACTCAGATTAATCTTCCAATGCAGAAATATTTAATGGCGCACCTTTTTATTCATATAATTCTATGTGAATTTTGTCCCATTTTGTCTTACAATGAAGCCATTGTCCTGGACCCTAAATTTGGATTGTCCTTATGGGGCTTTAATTTTATTTTTTGAAGTGGAGTCTGACTATATTTGTTGGTCTACAACTCTAGGGACTGCGTGATTCTCTTGCCTCTGCCTCCCAAGTAGCTGGGCATACAGGCATTGACACCACACCCAGCTCTTTATGGGACTTTTAAAGTCATGAATGGGAGAAACAGGAAATAGCATTTTGCTAAGGACAAACCTTAGCCAAGGGCAACAATCCATACAATGATTTTGACTTGAGGACTTCAGCTGTAGGACGGAGCCATGTAGGATAAACATGGACACGAGACACAGTAGAGGAAATCCTAAGAGGCCACGTCCAGTCAGAACCTTCTTCCACTGTTACCTTTTACCATGCAGATAGAGTCTAACCCAAAGCCCTGTTACCCAGTTCCTTTTTCACTGTTGTCGGTTGGCTTGTTCTTTGGGACAGGGTCTCACTATGTAGTCCAGGTTGGCCTTGAACTCACAGCAATCTTCCTGTCTCAGCCTCCTGAGTGCTGGGGTTTCAGGCATGTGCCACCATCCCTGACTATATTACTCAATTTTGAGCTAATGTCATGGCAAAATTTTATTTTATAATGATGTCCCAATATTAATATTTGAAATAAATGCATTTAAAACCCAAATATATCATTAAGCATTGTTCAGGTTTCACGGATCAGGCCAAGAACAACTGGACTCAAGGATGAAGCGGTTGGGGAAGGGAGTGAGGTAGGGAAAGAATTAAGAACTGCAGGAGTCTTTCTCAGCCAGCTCCCAGCCTGGAGCGTTCTGTATAAATGCGTTTGGTTGAAAGCACCAATAAAATAATCATATGAACTAAAAAGGGAGATGAGCAGAGGAAGTCACCTGTTACACACCAAGCGTACGCACGGCGGACCGTGGGGATGAACACGGACGAGGTTCACTCTTGCTGCTTCAGGTAGCGGGCGTGTCATGCCTACGGGTTTTTAGATGATGAAATAAAATATGTTCTAAAGTAGAACTGGAATTTTTTAGTTACCGACAGATGTTTCTGCTGTGTGTGACTCTTACACGTCAGGGCTAAGCTGTGTGCTGCCAGAGGTGCCCTCCCCAAGCCAGGACCCCTACCCTAGGGTCTGCTGAGGGGCGGACGGAGTTTTCACATCTAGACTGTCAAGCGTCCACACCAAGGTCTCGAAGAAGCCAGGGTGATTCTGTGAACTTGAAAGTATGAAGCTGGATGGGAGGGAAGCTGGGCCTCACTGCGTGGGGGGAAAAAGCTTTGGCCTCTAGTTCAGGAGCACATCTGTCTTCTTGTTCTTTTCTTCTCTTCGATTTCATTTCCAGTCCCCAAATAATTCAATTTACAAACTCATTACAGCCCTTTTAAAAGCCTCATTGGGCCTTTCAATGGGAAAGCTAAATGTGAAACCAATTGATTTTATAGTCATGGTGAAGAAATCGCAGTTTTAAATTCTATCTTCAGAGTTGGTAAGTGGACTTCAGAGTCAGCGAAAGAAACTGGCTGGGCTTACCCGCCAGGTGACTCTAACACACGCCGCTGAACCCCAGGGCATAGCACCGGGCTGGCTGCTGGAGGCCGGGAGCGCTCTGAGGGCCAACCAGCGTGAGGAATTGGGCGCAGTAACAGAGCAAGACTCCGGGGCCTGTCCAGACCTTGGCCGGCTCCGGCGCTGCGTGCATGGCTGAGGACTCCACTCCCGAGGGCCCTGGCGGCCACCTCTGAGGCCGGCTCTCATAATTCGAGTCTGTGAGCCTTGAGGATGAAAAGGGGACAAGTGGGAGGAGCCTAAAGAAAAGGGGTCCCTGTGTGTGGCCCTAAGCCATGCGTCCTGTGCAAACACGTTCGCTGAGACCTGACCCAGGTAAGGAACGGTGGGTGCAGTAAGTTTTCCTTTTTATGCTTCTTCCCCGCCGCATGTTTTCTACAAAGAGGATCTACTGCTGCTATAATAAAAATGACGGGGTGGGACGATGGCTACCTGGTACAGGGGTATAGTGTGTAGAAGGAACTTCTGGCGGCCGGCACCACAGTACGGTAACCATGGTTGGCGGCAATAAATCGCATGCCTCAAAATAGCGAGTGGAAAGGGGCTGGAGTGCTCCCAACACGACGTGAACGTCTGAGATGGTGGGCTGCCAGTTACCCTGATCTGATCGTTACACATTGTGAATATGTCTCCGGATCTCACAGTGTACCCTATAAATGTGTGCAAACGAAATAACTGATCTGAAAAAGGAAAAGAAAATGTTACGGCAGGCCCGGATAGTATCGAGGACAAAATAGAAGGGGGGTCTTATCTGAGCCCGGAGGGTGAGGAAGTGCCCTGGACGAATTTGCTTGGGTGTGTGCCTGGCCCAGAAACAGACCGGGCACCCGGGGTCACCCCTGCCGCTCAGAGGGCCCCGTTATCAGTTTCCCAGGGTGGAGTCAGGGTCGGCTGGGACCAGCGGAGGCTTTGTGCGGCCCCTGGTGCAGGGGACGTTTCCGGGAGCTCAGCTTTCTGTTTGTGCTGGCGGGCCGCCCGGCGGCCTCAGGTGAGCGCCCTGCTGTGCTGTTTTGCAGCTCGCCCGTGCTCCGTGGGGGAGTGGAGCGCCTGGAGCGGCTGTGCGGACCAGTGCAAGCCCACGACCCGCGTGCGGAGGCGCTCGGTGCGCCAGGAGCCTCGGAACGGCGGCGCGCCCTGCCCTCCGCTGGAGGAGCGCGCCGGCTGCCTGGAGTACTCCACGACGCTCGGCCGGGACTGCGGGCACGCCTTCGGTACTGCTGTCCTGGGGCCGGGGCTTGGCTATCTCCGATGACTTCTCGGCCTCCTCTCCTGAAAGGTCGTGGGCTGGGCAGGGAAAGTTCCACACCCTGCAGGGAGTGGGCTGGGCCACTTGCCCAAAGTAGATAGGAAGCTCAGGAAACGCTTCATGGAGGAATTGATGGCCAGCGGGAAAAGCCTCCCTTCCCCGCTTCCCTCAGCGTGTGTTCTAACCCCAGGGCCCAGTCTCACTCTGCACGGGCTGTCATAACACAAGCCACAGGTGTGGGCCCCCCGCCCCCACCCAGCGCCGCGGGGAACTGAACTCAGGACCGCGCGGCTGGACAGGTGCTCTACCACGGAGCTACACGCCCGGCTTTCCCTGCAGGTGGCTTCTAGGTGTTAGAGGACGTTAGACAGGATGGTGCTATTTCACGCGGGCTGGTAATTTCACTTCCGCTGTGATTCTTCATTAAGCAGGAATCTAAATTTGCACACTTTTGTGCACACTCACAAACGTGCAAATGGTAGAAAAAAGATAAATCTCTAAACAGTGATAAAATGATTCTGGTAAGACACCTGCCTCTCCTCTCAAGCGGACAGGCCTGAGGCCCTGCGGTCTGACTTGTGATTTGAAAAGGTTCTCTGGTTGTGAAGCGACCAGCGGTGAGGTTAGAAGCAGGCTCATAAACGACCAGGAGCCCCACGAGTCTCACAAAGAAAGAATGGGCCAGTATCCACGTGTTGATCTGGATCGAACACAATAGGGTAAAACTGACATATCAGGATAGCAAAGGCCCTGTGTTTTTCATAGAGCATGGAAACTTTCAGGCCAACCCAGCCTTCATCAGCTGTGTCGTGCCTTCTTTTTTCCATGCATAAATATTTACTGAGAATCTACCTGGTGCCCAGCGTGGGCTGGGCACGTGGGCTACAGTGGGGGAAGCGTTGATCACACTTTGATCACAATCTAATAGGCAGTGGCGCAATAATCTCATATGGCCTCAGGAAATTAATCCCGGAAATGGACAGCTGTGGTGTGCGGTACAGCTGGTATTTGATGAGCAAACCGTTCACGGAGGCCTAAGTAAGTCTAATAAGTTCTCAGGGAGAGGAAGGGGCAGCGGCTTCTCTGGAGACGGGCTGGGAGGTGCACAGCTACCGGGACAGATAGATCAAACCCGGTCGTCACGTGCAAAGGGCTGAGGGATTAGGGATGATCAAGAGCAAAGACAGGGGGCTGGGGATTTAGCTCAGCGGCAAAGCGCCTGCCTAGCAAGCGCAAGGTCGTGAGTTCGGTTCCTGGTACCGGAGAAAAACAAACAAAGAGCAAAGACAGGACCACAAGAGGCAGCAGCACAGCAGGCCTTACTGGGCAGTGCTTGACAGGGTGGTGGGAGGGAGAAATCCTCACAGGCAGACTGTCCAGAAGGAGGCAGGCTGGGGCTGGGCTGGGCTAGCGGGCGGAGGAGGAGTGGCGTGGGAACTCCCAAGGTAGAGGAGGATTTACGAGGCACCTTCTGCGTCCAGGTGATGTCTGAGACACAGCAGGAAGTATCCGCAGCAGAGAGCTCCACAGGGCAGAGTCAGCTTGGGATCTTTTTGCTTTTGTTTTTTGCAGCACTGGAGCTTGAACTCGGAGTGCTGAATTACACGGCCGGCCCTTTTAAATTTTATTTTATTCTTAAATTTTATGTTGAGACAGTGACTTACTAAGTTGCTCGGGCTGGCCTTGCACTTGGAATCTTCACGCCTCAGCCTCCTAGTAGCTGGGATGACAGGCGTGTGGCACAGTGCTGCGTGAGCCTGAGCTCTGAAGGTCCTGTCTGAGAAAGGCCAGGAGATGCGGGGAACAGCGTCACAGGTACGCAAAGCAGGCCGGTTAAAAACCTGCTTGCTCGGCTCTTTTAAAACAACTTTGAGCCGGGCGTGGTGGTGCATGCCTGTAATCCCAGCACTTGGGAGGCTGAGGCAGGAGGATCATTTTGAGTTTGAGGCCAGCCTGGGCTACAGAGTGAGCTCAAGGTCAGCCTGAACTGCATAGCGAGACCCTGTCTCAAAAAGACAAAAAAAAAAAAAAAAATAAAAATAAAACAACTCTGAGTTTGATGCCAGAGGCTCAGGCCGTGGCGAGGAAACGGGCAACCTGTGGTTCGTGTACACAACGCCAGGAAGGCAGGGCTCATCTGAGAACTAGTGGAGACTGCTTGAGGGCGCACAGGCAGTGCCTGGACTTTTCCTTCAGAGCCTTGAAAGCCACTGGGGTGTTTTCTGTGGTTCGTTGTAATCAGATCTGTGATGGGAAAGGATTCCTCTGCCATGGGTGGCGGCTGGAGCCTCTCGCAGCTGAAACAGCTTTGCTTTATCTTGGGTAGTTTAGTGCTTCCTGAGGCTGCTCCGGGCAGCAGCTGTAGATCACAGTCCCGTCCATCAGGTCCCCTGCAGGAACCCTGCAGAAGCAGCTTGGGGAGGATTGCTGTGAGACATCACTGATACCCCCCAGCTCGTTCCCACCCCTTCTAAGGCCCCGGATCCCTTTACAACAGAACAAGCATGTGGAGGGTCTAGAAGATGCTAGGGGACATGGCCCGAGGGCATCAGCGGGCAGGAGCCGCATCCCCTCAGGGTGGCCTGGGGCAAAACCGGCCCTGCTTGGCCCCCGGGGCCTCCTCTCCTTCAGATGTCCTTGTGTTCCCAATGACCCCTCAGCCGCCACACTTTACCAAGAAGATGAGTTGAAGCAAGCGGTCATCTGCCCTCACCCGCAGAAGTTGTTAGTGACTTTGGTGTAACTAGCAGGAGATATCTGTGCTTGGCCACCATCCCTTATAACATAAAACAACACCTTCTGGTTTGGAAAGAGGAGAAATCCCCACATTTTTAGCCCTGACTTTGGTCTCCAGGGTCCCCTTCCCTGGGGGGTGTCTTGGGAGGGATGACTCCTGTCACGTGCTGCCCAGGGAGGATAGGTGCCTATGAGCAGTCCCGGCGTGGGACCCTGGACCAGGAGCAAGGGCATCACATCCCTGGAGACCAACCAAGGCCGGTGGGTCAGAACCTCTGGGGTGGGCGCAGCACTCTGAATTGCAGCAAGGTCTCCAGGGGATTCTGCCACTCCCTGAAGTTCCAGGACCTCTGCTGTTGGCTGGGCATGGATAGACAGCCCTGTCGGTGTCACAGCAGGCGGAAGTTTCCACAGGACATTCTCTTTTACAACAATATACAGTGATACACACACACACACACACACGTAGATACACATGTTCACTCTACAAGAGGGAAGTACCATGAGCAGTGTTTTCCCACTTTATGTGATTAGATAACCTTTTCTTAGAAGCACCTCACTACAATCACTAGTGTTCATGGGATACACTGTAGAAATGACGGACTACTAGGGGAAAACAAGAGATGATAACGTGAACATCCACTCTAGTGAGTTCCTCAAGGCTGCTTGGGCCTTGTTTCCTCCCAGCTCTTGTGCTTCCTTTTCTTCTTTTGGTGGTACTAGGTGTTGAAGCCAGGGCTTTCGCACCAGGCTACACCCTAGTCCTTTTTTTTTTTTTTTGAGATGGGATTTTACTATGTTGCTCAGCCTGGGCTTGGATTTGCAATCCTCCTGCCTCAGCCTCCCAGAGTGCTGGGATTACAGGCATGTGCCGCCATGCCCAGCTCTGTGCTTTGATTTTTGTTTCTCTGACTTAACACCAAGCACCTACCATATGCCAGCATTGTGCTATGTTTTGGGGATCCAAACTTGAAACCAAATATATTCAGGATGCTGAGCACTGTAGTAGAGAGATGCAGCGTAGGTTGGTGTGGGAGCCCAGCAAAGGAGCACATACGTAAGCCCGGGTGCTCGCAGGCCTGCTGCTTGTTCTCCTGTACACCTGTTACCTCCTCCCTCCACCTCCACCAGACCATTCCCAGAGCAGGGCGCTTTGTTACATGGCACATGAATATTCGCAAGGCAGGCAGCTCGTAATAGACATTACCGATTTATTCACGGTAGTCCTACAGCAGAGTGCATTCATTGTCTATGGCTGCAATAATGATTTATCAGAAATTCAGTGACTTAAAACAACGCATATCAATTCTAGCTTACAGTTCTGTGAGTTAGAATTCCAACACGGATCTACCTGGACTAAAGCCAAGGTGTCAGCAGGGCAGTGCTCCTTTCGGAAGGCTGGAGGGGGTACCCATGGCCTTACTTTTTCATGGGCGGAGGGGGGTCCTTCATATAATGAGCAGAAAGGAGAGCAGATTGTATCCCACAGTTATGTGGAAAGTAGAACCCAAAAGTGACGACCCAAACTTGGATGTTCAGCCAAGAAGAGTGCAAGCAGAGTGCTGAGTGTGCAACTTCGCTTCTGGTTGTTGCGTTTAGTAAATCACATTAGAAAAGAGGAGAGAAAAATGTTTAAGCCTAATGGGATCAGGCTCGGCTTAACTGGGAAATTCTTAAGCCTACCAAAATGGCACAGGATGCTAAAACTTAAGCAGGTTCTAGAAACAACGGAGCGTGTAGCTGTACAGCCTTCAGGTATCTCCGCCCCTTCTGCTGCCTGCCTCTCCTGTCTCCATAGGCGGCAACACAGGCTCCTGTGTGCCTCATCGGCAGCCACATCTCCCTATGACTAGATTTTTTTTAAGTCTCTTGTGATTATGTGAGGCCAACCTAGATAATCTGGGGGACTTTTCCTATTTTAAGCACTCTAATTTCACTTGTAACTGTAATTCCATTTTGCCATGTAACGCAACACATCCACAGGCTCTGGACATCTTTTGGAGCCATCGTCCTCTCTACTGAAGGGAGGCGGCAAGATGATTCTCCTTGGTTCACACAGGAGGACCCGGGGTTCTGGGAGGGGACGGCGCTGGCGAAGTCTATCAGAATTTGAGCCTGGCTCTCGTGGCCCTAAAGCTATGCGTTTTCCCCTTTTTGTGTGTTTTTCTGTTCACTGTCATCACTAGTGTGAAAACTGTGATTATGGATTCTGGTAACGAGGAGAAAAGCAAAGCCTCCATAAAGCCAGTGGCTGGAACACGATCAGTGAAACTCTCTTGTTAATCGGCAAGTAGCTGTTGATTTTTTCCTGTTCCCTCTAAGGCGAGTGATTGCATTTTACCACAAAAACAAAGGTAAAGAGCTGACTTGTTGGGCTTGCTGCACTTTACTGATGGTTCTATGAAATTCCTAAGGCAAATTTAATTTACTTTCATGCTCTAAGCAAATATGTGCGGCGCCTTTAAAAGTGGAAGTTGTAAAACTGAACAATGGTAGGCTCATAGATTGCCAGAGAAGCTGGCAAAGGGCCTGTGAAGAAAGAATGTGCTACACTCAAATACTGTCAGGAAGGGGAAGGGGAGGGAGCCAGCATTCGTGGAGTCTGTCCCAGGCCCCAGCTACGCGTTCCTGCACATAAGAAGTGGACCGAAGGCATAAGTAACTTCTAAATTATTCGCCCCTCCTCAGTAATGAAGTTCAGTGTGTGGGGCAGATTAAAAAGTGGGCTGTTTGGAGAGCTCCAGGCAATCTGGCTCCGGGTCTGCTTGCTAGAGACGCGCGTGTAGGGGAAGGTGCCCTTGCACTAGGGTGTCACTGCAGGGGTGCAGAGGGAGCAGGCCGCCGAGCGGCTGGCTTACTTTCAGGATACGCCACAACCGCAGGCCACGAGCGCGGCGCAGGAACTAAGGATGGATCCTACGTTCTCAGGGGACAGGAGATGCCTTCTGCGGCGGGCCCTTTTCTCATCACGGAAGCCCTCCGAGGCTGAGGAATAAAGCTGGCATTTGCACGTCTTTACAAAGTTTATGAAGGCTGGGAACATGTATGAAATTACTGTGAGCGACGGGGCTGGGGATTTAGCTCAGCGGCAAAGCGCCTGCCTGGCAAGCGCAAGGTCGTGAGTTCGGTTCCCGGTA